GGACATCAAAATACCACTGTAAAATGTATCCATTCCAATTTCATCATTTTGTTTTACAACGTATGCTTGATATTGAGCCTTGAACTCATTATGGGCTATTTGGTTAAAGCAGTCTAGCGTTGCTTTGATTTTTTTTCACTACTGTGTCATTGATCTGATTTGCTGCATGTAGAGCTTCAAGAACAGCCTGTATCCTAGTGATTCCAAGATTTGGCTTGTATAAAATGATAGTAGGATCCAATGCTGATAAGCTACTGTCAACCTTGCTTCTGTCAAGCAAGTTCTCAGACAATTTCATGTTGTTAACAACTGGGAACCAGAAGATACGTTTTGCAGCTTTTCTGATTTTATGGAACAACTCATTAGCTTCTTGATTAGCCTACAAAGTTTTTGAGTTTTGAAACCTTTGTAGAAATGGCTCACAATCCCCAGGTATCATTTCCATGAAAGCCATTTTGCACTTCATGAGTGGATCTTGCATTGCAGCTTTTATACAAATTGCAGGTTTACTGTGATGGAGTTTTGCTTCCTCCACATACAGTACTTCTTGATGTTGTCAAAAACAAGGCACTTAACATTCTCCAAACACCTAGTGGAGCTAAAAGGTCAGGGGCCATAGTGTGCTTCCAGTCATAGCAGTGTACGATGCTCTCCTAGCTGGGGAATCTTCAAACAGATAATACGTGTTGCCCAAGGCTGAATTCAGGTCCCGTTTCACTGCTTGCAATCCTGTTTCAAAAGACCTATGTACGACAGGAAGGGTACAAGTTCCAAAGTCACTCAGTTCTCTTCCTTCTCCTTTACAGTCGAGGTTGGTTTTAATTTCTTCTTTTAGTTTTCTCAGAAAAAAGTTATTTACATTTGACCCATCTATAGATACTTGTAATAATTTTGCAACTGATAAAGAAGACATGCCTTCTTGAAACTTCTTCAGTAGTAGCAGTTTGAAGAAAAACACTGGTTAGATACCGTGTGGAAATGTTATGACAGTAGTCATCCCAAAACTGAACCACTAAATCCATCTGTCCCTTTTGAACCACCTTATTCAAAGCTTCATCAAAATAGATAACAAATGTTTGGCAGTTTCAGCTGTTTCAGTAAAAGATCAGAGAAATATGGTGCCAAGCCAAAAGAAATAACATACATCGCTTTTGTTTTTCCAATATGAAACTGTTGAGCTATCTGAGAACATTGGCTTGAATAACTCATTGATGTTGTTACAAGAGTTAAATGATATCTTCTTCATCACCAGTTGCAAACCCCACAGGTTCTCTGCTGTCCTAACACAGTCCTTGATTACACAGGCAGCCACAATAGTTTGTGTGGTGGGTAATTCTTTGCCATTTTCATCACTCTGATCATGTTTTCCACTTTTCACAGGGGCTGTCTCTTCACCCTCTCTGGTTTTACTATCTAAACTTGTACTTGACTTTGAACCTAAACATATCATGATATGTGATATAGCTGACTTGTTATAATTTTCAGGTTCTTCTGTTGTAATGGTCCAGAGCTCTAATTCCCATATTACTTAGTTCAAATGTTTTGTAGCATGTTTTACAATAACCTTTGCATTTGTCTCGAGCAACAAGTGATAGCTATGGAATGAAGTTAGGATGAAGTTTGAAATCCAGCTACTGCATACTAACTATTCTCTTAGAAGCCATCTTCAAAATGTGGTTTCAGATTCAGCTGTACAGAGAACCACCTGCCTGACACCAAGATGTTAGCAAATTTGTTTATTGGCAAGTAGGAACTTTCCAAAGCTGGAAAAGTTTCTGCGGCGTTCACCCTTATTATGTTAAATAGTCATGCATTATTCATGTTGTAGGCTAATGTTGTTGAGAGGCGGAGCCAAGAGAGATATTAAAAAGGCGGAGCCTGAGAGTGAACAGTCAGTCAGAGTCAGAGTGTGGAGTCAGGAGAGATAGAGTGATATTTGGGAGATCTGAGGTGTGATCTGTCAGAAGAGTGAATAATAACTGTAAGATCAAATAGAAGATTGTTTTTGATGATTGATAAACCTGAAGAAGATATGTATGAATAATTATCAAAATATCTGTAATCAATAAACCTGTTTTATTTTAAAATACAGTGATGAATGGACTTTCATCTTTCTTTAGAAAAGTATGTTGATTTAGTGATCAACTGGTGGCAGAGTGTGAAGAGGAGTTTGGCTTGCCTTCATGTGCTCAGTGGTTGGAAGATAACCAGGGGTAGGAAGACCTATTGTACAGAGAAGTTATTGTGAATCCTATGAGGGGAGGGGAGATCATTTTCAGACATTCTCAGATAGTACCCTTCAAATACAGAGAATTTTTTTTAGAAAAGGGACATAAAGGGACATTTGCTGCTCATTTAGGGATTACACATTCAAAGCAAAGAATTGCTCAAAACTTTTACTGGCATGGGATGGGGAAGCAGGTTAAGTTATCCTTGCAGCAATCTCTTGAGTTAGCAGTAGAAAACTTAAAGAGCCATCAAGGAAAGCAAAAGCACTGGTATAATAAGAGAGCCAGGGAAAGAACATTCAATCCTGGAGATGAAGCGCTAATGTTAAAACCTATTAAAGGTAATAAACTCCAATTATATTGGGCAGGTCTATTTAGAGTAGCCTCTAAAATGAATTATGTAATTCAGGAGGAGGGAGAAGAAGACAGAAGAGTGGTGCATGTAAATATGATTAAACCTTATTATAGGAAAGAAAATTTTGTCTTATATGCCATTAAAGAAGTGCACAATGAAAAACATGAACTACAATATTGGGAAGGAAGGGGTGAATCCCAGTATAACCCTGAAGATGTTAAGATTAGCCCTACTCTAACACCAGAGCGACAAGATGAAGTGAGAGCCTTGCTGCAGAAATACAAGCAAGTCTTCTCAAATAAGCCTGGTGTAGCAAAGGTGGTAGTATATAAAACAGATAAAGGAGATGCACCTCCTCAAGCTGTCACACCTTATAGAGTAATGGGGCCATATGTAGACAAGGTTCGCAAGGAGCTAGATTAAATGCTGATAAACCAGATGGAAGTATTCACTTTTGCATGGACTATTGAAAACTGAGTCACGTCACTAAGTCAGATGCTTACCCGATGCCTCGGTCAGATGACTTGACAGAGACTATAGGGGGATGTCGATTCATAACATGTTTTGACCTGACTAAAGGGTTCAGACACAGCCGTACACAGAACCACCTCCTGACACCAAGATGTTAACAGATTTGTTTTCTGGCAAGTAGGAATTTTCCAAAACTGGAAATTTCACTTTCACTTTCTGTGTAATGAGCAGAACAGCAGCAAGAACAGAGGTGGAGTTTAAAAGCCTGCAGATCATTTCTGCAATCTAGAGAAGCAGGCAGCCCTCATTTGCAACCTTTATGCATGGGGGAAATCAGGGAAGAGGGTGAGAGAGCTGTTACTCTGTAAACCCCAGCAGGAACAAGCAATCACATTTGAAAAAACTACTTTGCATGGTGCAGAGTAGAAAATGCTAGGTGACTGTGAAATCCAACAGCAGCAAAACTCATTTACAACTCTGTGCTGGGTTTAGCAGGTGTGAGAACGTCTATTCCATACACAAGCATTACCCAAAAACATGCTTATCTTTATATGTAAGTTAAATGCAGTACTAGCAGGTTAGATCTTTAAAGTTTGTATCGTGCTAAACTTTTAACTAGTCTTGCTTTGCAAATGCCACAGGCAGACTTTGGAAATCATGCAGGGACAGAGCTCAACAAACACATTAGGCTGGTTGCTGGGGGGGGGAGTTGAGAAAAAGGTGGAGCTGGGAAAGGGCACCATTCAGTTTTACTTGCCGTCTACTATTTCTGTATTCCAGTTGCCATAAGAACAGATCATGCTCTAGCAGCAGCAGGTAAAAAAATCCACTGCTTGAATACACTTTAATTCCAATTTCCCTGACTTTCCCTGACTTCAGACCAATTTCCCTGACTTATTTCCATTTCCCTGACTTCCCCTGATTTTCCAGAAAGTAGTGCCCTTGTTGGAGCTACAGAGTAATGAAAATGCCTAGAACAAATGTGTCTTTCGGATTGACTTTGTGTACTCAGGTACATGTCTCTGCAGCTGGATTGTTGGATTGTTATTTCCCAAGGAATCTACGTGTATTTGGACTGCTTATGCTTATGCCCCATATAACCTGGTACACAGCACTCTCAGTTATGTGCATTTAGAGATAACTCCCAGTCATGTTTTTCCAGGGCTGATGTTCTTTTATGCTCAAGAGTGGAACACAACACAACTACATTTTAAGTGAGAGTTAAAGGAAGGGTAGGATGCATCTTGCAGAACCCATTTTAAATCACTCTCAGGGGTGTGCAGTGTGCATATTTCTTTGCAAAAGGATGCTTACCAAGAATTTTCTTGAACCTTTGGATTGGAAATAAAATGGCTTAAATTAGGCCCTTTATTGGACGTGTCTTTTGGATTGAAAAAAAAGTCAAATCAAGTTCAATATCTACATACATAGAAATAAAAACGAAACAGTATTCATAAGAAAATAGAGATCTGTTATTTCCTTCTATAATAAAAAGGTTAAAGTAAAGGTTCCCCTTTGACAGTTTTTTGTCCAGTCGTGTCCGACTCTAGGGGGCAGCGCTCATCCCACTCTTCAAGCCATAGAGCCAGCGTTTTGTCCGAAGACAATCTTTCCGTGGTCACATGGCCAGTGTGATTTAGACACGGAACGCTGTTTACCTTCCCACCGAGGTGGTACCTATTTATCTACTCGTATTTGCATGCTTTCGAACCACTAGGTTGGCGGGAGCTGAGACAAGCAACAGGCGCTCACTCCGTCGCATGGATTCAATCTTACGACTGCTTGGTATTCTGACCCTGCAGCACAGGCTTCTGCGGTTTAGCCCACAGCGCCACCACGTCCCTCTCCTTCTATAATACCAGCCAGATATAACATGATTCACAAACTAGTTTTCAATTATAATGAATATATTAATAAACAAAATTAGGAATAAGAAATTATTTTACCTCACATTTATAAACTTGTTTTTCTGCCTCAAGGTATCTGATTTTTTCTTCAGTTTTCTGAAGTTGTGCCTTTGTTTCTTGATGAGCTAAGAATTCATTTTCAAACTACAAAAGAAACATGAATGTAGTGTATAACATTGTATTCATTCTTTCAGAGTGACAAGATTACTCCCATTATGCTTTCAGTGTTTCTCATATTGTTTCCTTCAGTCCTAATAGAAGAGGGCTCAGAGCATGCAAGGGAAGAGAGAGGAAGAAAAGGCAAAATATTACAACTCTTGAACAACTTGATCCACTGAGTCTCACAGTGAAATCTGTTACAGTGATGCCTCACAAGACAAATGCCTCCCAGGACAAAAAACTCACAAGAAGGGAGGTTACTTACCTGTAACCATTGTTCTTCGAGTGGTCATTCTGTGAATTCACACAAAAAGGGTTAATCCAGCGCCAGCGTCGGTCCTCTCGAAATATTCTCGAGCTCTGAAAAGAAAAGTAACAAGTGTAAGGCTGCCTATACTGCGCATGCTCCGCCCCTCCCAGCCTTAGTTCCATTTATCCGCCACAGTATTCACTCCAGAAGTAGACATCAACAGTGACAGATAGAGGGGAGGCTGGGTGGGATTGTGTGAATTCACAGAATGACCACTCGAAGAACAATGGTTACAGGTAAGTAACCTCCCTTTCTTCATCGTGGTCTTCTGTGAATGCACACAAAAAGCGTGATTAGCAAGCTTACTCACCGGACGGAGGGTTGTCACTGTAGGACAGATGTCAACACCACTCTCCCAAACGTAGTCTCCCGTCTGGCTCTGAGGTCAAGTCTATAGTGGGTGATAAATGTCGACACACTAGACCATGTGGCAGATCTGTAGATGTCTGGTACATCAATGCCACGTAAGAGAGCCGTGGAGGATGCTACAGCTCTGGTGGAATGAGCGCACAAACCCTCAGGTGGAGACTTGTGCTGAAGATCATACGCGAGAGCGATTGTGCTGTCAACCCATCTTGAAAGAGTAGAACGCGATGCAGGTAAACCCTTTTTGTGTCCAAAATAACACACAAAAAGTCTATTAGACACTCTGAATTCCTTAGTCCTGGATACATAAAAAGCTAGAGCCCTTCGCACATCCAAGGTGTGGAGCATGCGCTCGACATCAGTAGTAGGCTTAGGAAACAATGTAGGGAGAGAAAGAGGTTGATTCAGATGAAAGTCTGAGACAACTTTAGGAAGGAATGAAACATCTGGATATAAAAGGACTTTTTCCTTGAAAAACTGCAAAAACGGTTGGTCAGATCGAAGAGCCGCGAGTTCACTCACTCTCCTGGCAGAAGTAATAGCCACCAAAAACAGTGTTTTGAGGGACAATAGCTTAAGTTCACAAGTGGCCATTGGCTCAAAAGGAGGACGGGTAAGTGATCGTAGGACTAACTGGAGAGACCACTGAGGAACTGGAGGTCTCATATTAGTGAGTCCTTTGAAAAAGGCCTTGGCAGTAGAGTGAGCGAATAAACGTGATGAAGGTGAACCCCTTGGTTGAAAAGATATAATGGCAGCCAAGTAAACTCTAATAGTGGATAAAGACAACTTAAAGTCAAACAAGTGTCGCAAATATAACAACAATGTAGAAAGGGACACCGGAGAAGGAACAAGACCCCTGGCATCAGTGAACTTAAGGAAACTTCTCCACTTACACCTATATAGCAAAGTGGTAAATGGCTTCTTAGCCCGTTCTAATACTTCTTTGACTTGTGGGAGATCCTCCACACAGTCAGCTGTAGAGTCTCCACGTCTGGATGAAAGATGACACCCGCAACCTGAGTTAGGAGGTCTGGTAACATAGGTAGCCTCTTGAACTCTGTGGACATGGCCACTAACGTGGGAAACCACACCTGACGAGGCCAATAAGGGGCTATGAAAATGGCGCTCACTCTTGACTGGCAAAGTTTCACCAACGCCTTCTGAATCAGAGGAAGAGGAGGAAACATGTAAAGGAGCACTTGATTCCATGGTATCATGAACGCATCTCCTAGAGACCTGTTGCCTATCCCCGCTCTGGATGCATAGTTGATGCACTTGGCGTTCAGGTGAGATGCAAAAACGTCCACCATGGGGGTACCCCACAGGCAACATAGTTCCTGGAATATCCGGGGATTGAGTTCCCACTCGTGCGTTTGATAAGGAAGGTGGCTGAGCCGGTCCGCAAGCGCATTCTCCAAGGTTGGGACATGTATGGCCATCGGAAATATGTGGTATAGTCGGCACCACTCCCAGAGATGCACAGCGAGGAACAGCAGTGACTGAGAGTGTGTTCCCCCCTGTTTGTTTATGTAGTACATGGTCGTGGTGTTGTCTGTTATCACCTGAACACCACGACCCAGTACCATGGGGAGAAAAGCTCGTAGAGCCTTGATGACCGCTATCATTTTGAGATGATTTATATGAAGGTTGACCTCTTGGGCAGACCAAAATGCATGTACTTTGTGTTGGCCACAATGTGCTCCCCAGCCCGATGGGCTGGCATCCGTAGTTATCTGTACCGTCAACCGTAGTGGTTTGAATGGTCTGCCCATCATGAGATCCGGAGCGTGAACCCACCACTGTAGTTGGTTGGCGAGTTCCTTGGTCACTCGAAGCCGTTTGTTTTGACTGTCCGTCATGGGATTGAACAGAGTAAGAAACCAAGACTGTAGAGATCTGAGTTTGAGTCGTGCATGAGACAAGGCAGGAGTCATGGAGGCCATTAGTCCTAAGAGATGTTGCGCATGCCTCGTTGTCACCCGAGACCCTGGTCGGAACTTCCTTACTGCCCTGTGGATCTTCTTCCTTTCTTTGGGTAGGAAGATCCGTGCCTTGTTTGCATCCAGGCGTGCTCCTATGTAATGAGCTGTTCTGCATGGCGTGAGGTGGGACTTTTTCGTGTTTATGGTAAGTCCCAGCTTGGGTAACAATTGGAGGACGAACCTGACATCCTTGAGTGCTTTTCTCCGGGATGGAGACACCAGCAGCCAATCGTCTATGTAGGGATAGATGTGGATACCCTGAAGATGCAGGTAAGCAGCGACTGGTGCCATCACCTTTGTAAAAGTCCTGGGAGCTGTGGAGAGCCCGAACGGTAGGGCTAGGAACTGGTAAATGGTGCCCTGAAATAGAAAACAGAGATACTTGCGATGTTGAGGGTGGATGGTGACGTGAAAATAAGCGTCCTTGAGGTCTATGACCACAAACCAACTGTTTTACTTTAATAGGGGCAGGATTGACTCTAATGTGATCATGCGGAAACAACGAGGACGAAGGTAAGTATTTAAGAGTCTCAGATCTAGGATGGGTCTTATGCCTCCATCCTTTTTTGACACGGCGAAATATCTTGAGTAGAACTCGTTTCTTAAATCTGTGATGGGTACGGGCTGAATAGCTTGCTTCTTTAGAAGTGACACAATCTCGTCCTCTAGAGCAACGTCGAAAGAGGTGTGACATATAAACCCTAGTGGAGGTGACTCTGTAAATTCCAGCCTGTAGCTGTGTTCGATGATGTTTAAGACCCATGAGTCGCTTGTGATAGTAAGCCAATTTGAAAGGAAGGGGAAAGTCTTGTAGCGCTTGACCTTGATATGCCCTTGCTGAGTGAGTCAAAGATAACTCTTGGACTTTTTGGCAGGTGATTTGAAAGATCGTCTTCGCTGAGATTGTTGAGATCTGTAGCTGGGAGCAGAGGAAGATGCCTGTGAAGACCTCTGCTGAGGTAAGTTCTTATAAGACTTGAATTGTTGGGATGACTGCTGGTACTGTGCATAAGATCTTCGCCATTGGTACTTATTATACCGAGGTTGAGTTTGGATAGAATATGACCTGGCCGTCTTCTTGGCCTTGTGTAAATCCTCCAAGTGAGAATCTGTTTTTTCATTAAAAAGGCCAGTGGCGTCGAAGGAAAGGCTTTCTACTTTATTCTTTACATCTTCCAGTATGCTAGCAGCTCTTAGCCAGGCATGTCAACGGATTTGAACTGCGGACATAAGGATTCTAGCTGCTGCCTCCGCAGCATGTCTAGTAGAGAGCCGTTGGTGTTTGGACAGTTTGGGCTTCCTCATAAAAATTCAAGAAGGTTTGCCTAACCTCTTGTGGAATAAGCTTAAGTCCAGGTAGAATCTTAAGTCAAAGCTGCTTCTGGTATGCACCCAGGGCAGTTTGGTAATTGATTAGTTTGATCAGGAATGCAATAATTTTTCTTCCAATAACCTCCAGCTTCTTCCCATCCTTGTTGGTAGGAGTAAAGTGTGATTTACCAGTAGGCTTCGTGCAACTGGTCTCAACGATCAAAGAATTAGGAATGGAGTGCTTGAGGAGAAATTTAGTATCGGGGCCATGTATCCGGTAAAAATTCTCAGTCCTGCGAGGCAAGGAAGGAGTGTCAGAAGGTTGTCCCCAATATTCCTTTATAATGTCCATAATTGCCAGGACGAAGGTCAGACTAGGTGGTGGAGACCTCTCTTGGTTTATATCTCCAAAGATGAGGCCCTCCGTGGCAGGTGGAGGTTGATCAACTTCAAGTTTAAGAGTCTTAGCCAGGCATGATAACATCTGAGCTTAGGACGAAAAATCCTCAGAGGGAGATGAAACATTGGCGTCTCCAATATCTGATCCCACCGCTTCTCCTTCCGGAAGAGTCCCCTGCTGTGTAGGCAACTCCTGGTCAGAATTGGAAGACAGGACCGAAGAGACCTTGTCAGGGTCGGAGGAGAAAACATCCCTCTTCCTCTTGCGTTTTGGCTTATCAACATCGATCCTTACTGTCGATGTTGAGGGCTGAGGTACAGGGACTGTAGCAGCAAGTGGATCCAAAGGAGGAGGAGCAGGTAGAAGCTGTTGAGGCCGGCCTCCGATAGGGTTTTCGGCCTCGATGTGTCGACGTCGGTGTCGATGACGAGGTGGGGAGGAGTCAGACGATGAGGACACATAGATGTATTTGTCCTCTTGCGCTTGTGTCGTCGATCAGTCGACGTCGAAGATGAGCTGGAGGAGGTCGAACGGTGTTGACGTCGGCGACGCTTGTTCCGACGAGATGACTCTGAGTCGGAAGAGGATGAGGAGTGCTTCCGACATCGATGTTTGCTTCGGCGTCAGGTCGACGATGCATGCTTCTTCTTGAAAGCTCGCTTCCCCCGTGGTGATCTCGACCTCGAAGGGGATGTTGAGTTGTGCTTCTTCTTAGAAGCGCGTTTTCCACACGGTGATCTCGACCTCGAAGGAGACGTCGAGGTACACTTCTTCTTGGTAGTCAGTTTGCCGCGTGGTGATCTCGACCTTGAAGGGGATGTCGAGGTCGACAGAGCTGGAGATCCCCGCCCATGAGTCGATGGGCTTTGCGGGACTGAAGTCAAGCCTGTGGTAACACCGACGAGCTGACTTGGAGCTGGAGAAGCAATGCCCGAAGGCACAATCGGCTCGACTTGTCGAGGAGGCAGAGAAGGGGCTGTCTCCGACAAGTACTCTCTATCTCTCGACGAATCCTCCAAAATGGTAGATGGGAGGGATGCAGAGATTGGTGGAAGCTAAGCCGTAGACTCCTTGGGCTTAGCTGGAGGTTTCGCTTTGCTGTTTTTAGCGGACTTTGAGGCGGACGAGTTCGATTTCGCCTTACTAGCCGGTTTTTTTGCTGGGAGCGTCTTGGCTTGCTTGGTTGAAGTCTTTGACGGACCCAGCTGAGGCGAGGTATTTGCCTCCTGCCGTGGGGTTGCCGAAGGGGAGACCATCTCCAAATCTGAGGGTCTAGTGGCTGACAGGGTAGATTCCCACAGATGATAGTTAAGCCGCTGCTGTCTTGCTTTCAACGCTGCCTTGGTGAAAGTCTTGCAATGTCTGCAAGACCTAGTGAGATGTTCTGCACCAAGACAGAAAAGGCAGCGATCGTGGGGATCTTGGTGTGGTATCTTCCTGGAACAGACCACACAACAGCTAAAAGGACCTGAAGGCATAGGCCGGTAGCTAAGGGAGCCGTTGAACAGGGAGGGAAAAAAGGCGGGAAAAATCAGAGCAGACGAAATGTAGGGAAAATACCGAAAACGGAGTCCAAAATACAGTCCGCGTCAAGGGGTTGGACAGATCCACAATATAAGTCCAGTCCGGGTCAAAAACAAAGGAGAAAAATATATTTTTATGAGAAAAATATGGAGCTCGAAGGAGAGGTTCCAAACCGCTAGACCGAAAAATGGAACTAAGGCTGGGAGGGGCGGAGCGTGCGCAGTATAGGCAGCCTTACACTTGTTACTTTTCTTTTCAGAGCTCGAGAATATTCCGAGAGGACCGACGCTGGCGCTGGATTAACCCTTTTTGTGTGCATTCACAGAAGACCACAATGAAGAACGAATGGTTTTGGCAATGGGGTTGATGACTTGCAAGACAAATGTTCCTATGCCCGCGCTTCGCAAGACAAATGTTTTCCATTTTTGTTCCTGCCTCATGTTTGCTGATTTTTAAATGTTTTTCTATGATGTTTAAAAAGTTAAAGTTTTTTGTTTGAAATTTTTTAAATCATCTGCACAATATTTATGGCTTTAAAGAGCACTTAATGAACCCTTTGTAAACCAAATTTGACTTTGTTCTGAGTTTTTTGCCTATAGGAATGCATCAATTGGATTTCAATGCATTCCAATGGGAAAACGCGTTTCACAAGACAATTTTTTCGCAAGACTTTAACCACGAAATGGATTAAATTCGTCTTGTGAGGCACTACTGTACTTTTCTAAAGGCCACAATATTTTCCCTTTTCTTCTCTCATCCTTCTTTTTACGAACATCTATTTTTACAAACATGTAAATAAAACTGCTCTAAAATTACTAACCTTTTTCAAGAATTCTGAAGCTCTCTCTTCAAGTTCTTCTATTTTGTTTTGTTCAACACAGATATCTAATAAAAAGCAATGTTTGTGTAAAAGACTTATACAAGAATTGTGTGATTGTTGCCAGTATTATTCTCCTCCCTCCTCATAGACTGCTGCTTTACAGAACCACTTGAAAATGTATGCCTAACAGTGAGTCACGTTTCCCAGTTTTACTTCTCTCCTTTTCCAGAATGAGTCTGTGGGGTCAAGAATAAAGATGGGCACAATTTTTTAAAAAACAGTGATTCATTTTGATTCATCAAGGTCAAAGAATCATGAATCACAATTTGACAAAAAATTGACAAATTGATTCATCAATTCCTTTTTTTTTTACTTTGAAATCCTATAAAACAACCCCCTCAAGCACCTAGAGACATCACATTTGTGGGGAAACTTTCTTTGACTCTCCTCTACAGCCCCTGCAAGGTTTGTGAAGTTCGGCTTTCGAACATCCAAGTTATACAACAATGAGGAGGGCTCCCCCAGGAAAGTTCCCTCCAGTCACCTAGAGACACCAAAATTGCATAGAGGCTTCTCCTGGCTCTCCTCTACAATCCCTCGAAGTCTGATGAAGATCAGGTTTCAGACATCCAAGTTATACACCCACAAAGTGCCCCCCCAAAAGTGCTCATTAGCAGCTGACTGGAGGAAAACTAATCTTCACCAAACTTGGAGAGATTGTAGAGGAGAGCCAGAGGAAGCTTTCCTGCAATTTTGGTGTCTCTGGGGCCATTTTATAGCAAAAAATTTCACTGATTCATGATTCATCTGGGGCACTGATTCATACAAATATGAATCAACAAATTAGCAATGTTCAAACAAATTTGGTGATTCATTTTTGTCAAGATGTGGAGAAGAATTAAAGTTAAAAGCAGAAGTCTCAATAGGTAACAGATTATAGACCAGTGGTTCCCAACCTTGAGTAACTCAGGTATCAACTGTAACTCCCAGAAACTTTGGCCAGCACAGCTGGTGGTTGAAGGCTTCTGGGAAGTGCAGTGAAAGAACACCTGGGTTACCCATGGTTGAGAACCACTCATTCTCAACCTTTCTTTAGCAACAGTCATAAACACAATATGAAAGGAATATTGGCCAAATAAGGATTGTGTGTTGCATAAAAAACCTTATTAAGTGGTGTGTGACAAATTGTTTCCAGTCTGTGGCCTTCTTCATATGTACCAGGGCCCTCTATTGAGAATGGCTGCTATAAACCATTATCCGGCTATAAAGACCTTTTTTACTGCTTCAAAATATTTTAATTATTTTTAGTTTACTGTTAACAGGACCTTATTGATTGAAACAACAGTAAAGAATGACTACAGTCATTTTCTTACCTATATTAATATCATTCAGGATCTTGTTAACCCATGTGGACTTGTTAATTACTGAAGTGTTTTCAGCACAGTGGAGAAGAGGTGAAGGTCAAGATCACTATCAAAATGTGACATCTCAAGGCATAATTTAAGATGACATATTAGGTTTTAAGTAACAGTGATGTTTCATACATCACTTATTTTTCTTAGATACCCTCTTTCCACTAAAATAAGACGTAACCTGAAAATAAGCCCCAGTATGATTTTTCAGGATGCTTGTAATTAGAGACAAATATCCCACCATAGATGGAGAAAATGAGGGTGTGGCCCGATAGAGCCAGACTGTCCACTCACAGTTACGCCGCTGCCATGAGCTGCGATGGATTAGTCACTCTGCAACCTGGCAAAGAGGCTCGTCATCCCACCTTATGCCAGGATTGGCTAATCTATCGTGAGTAACAGAATTATAGGAAGGCTCGGTGCAGCTGGCAGCAGCAGCATAATCATGAGTGGGCACTCCGGCTCCATGCAGCCAGACTCTCGTTATCTCCACCTGTGGGGGGATATTCGTATTTGTATATAAATATGAATACTCCTACTCTACTCGTAATATAAGCCATATCCCCAAAACGAGCCCCAGTTAAGTGAAACTCCACCCTCCACTACTGTGCAACAACCAAAAGAAGACAACATGACTGTATTTGAATAAATTTATTTATTTGAATTTATTTATTTATTTATTTATTTATTTATTTATTTATTTATTTATTTATTTATTTATTTATTTATTTATTTATTTATTTATTTATTTGATTTATATCCCAAACAGCTCCAGTCACAAAATTTTGCTTCTACTTGCAACCGGAGCTTCCACTTATGAACAGAAAAAGGCAGGGAGGAAAAGTGGGGAATTCAAATTGCTAACTGTAGGTGGCGAAAGAGGCTGTTTCTTTGTAACTCTTTCGCCCCAACGACAGTTAGAATGAGTGCAATCCAGGAGGGACTGCCTGGCTTCTGCTTCTCAAACAGCATGTGCGTGTTTGCAGGGAGGCTTGGAACTGCCTGTTAGGTAGGGTAAGGTGCTGTTTTCTGCTTTTTTAAAACTGTTCCATGTGTTTTTGCAGTGTGGTTTTAGGCTGGGGGGGTTATGTTTCTGTGCTGTGATGGGTCTTGCGGGGATTGCTTGTTGGGTTCCCCCCCATTTCCAATGGGTCTTGGGGGGTTTGGTTGCTTTTTTGGGTTCCCCCCCATTTCTGATGGGTCCTGCATGCTTCCCTTGCTTTTTCCTTTGTTTTCTTTGCATTTCTGACCTTGTCCCTCTGTTCTCTGTGCATTTCCAATCTTCTGCGTTTGTTTTCTCTGCTTTTGCAATAGGTCTTGCACGTCTGATTGCTTCCCCCCCCTTCGCCCGGAAGGGATTAATCATGTTTCCAATGAGTCTTGCAGTGATTTTTTGTGATTTCTTTCTTTGACTGGAATGGATTAATGGGGTTTCAATTCATTCCTATGGGAAATGGTGCTTTGACTTATGACCATTTCAACTTACATCCATCTTCTGGAACGGATTATGGTCATAAATGGAGGCACCACTGTACATGAAAAAAAATAAAACATCACCTCAAAATGAGCCCTAATATGTTTTTTTCGAGCAAAAATTAATATAAGAACCTGTCTTATTTTCGGGGAAACACGGTATACACTCAAGATGCTTTATGTATATAACCAAAAAAGTGAAATTTGTGAATGTGTGGAGAGCATGCACTCATACATATCACAGAACTCAATACAAAGAGCTAGGATTTACTCTGACTTACTGTCAGATATATGCTGAAGTGGTAAAAGGTGGCTGAGTGTAGTGTAATTGCTTTACAGCCTCCAGAGTTCAACTGTTATAAAGATGGTAGTCTTATTCCATAGCAGCTTTTTTTTGGAAGCCAGCAATTGCTGGTTGTTAAAAAACACACTTTATGAAGCAGTAATATTTAAAAACCTACCCACTAAATGACTGAAGTCCATATCCAATCTTTTACGATAACTAAAATCTGGATCTACTCCATTTCGGTGTAAGACTATCTGTGAAACACATTCTTCAATTAACTTGAAATATAAAGGTCTGCACAGAGAAGGAAAAACATATGTATTTATTAATTATAGAGCAGCTTTATGACCAAATAAGCTACAAAGACAATATTCTATACGTTATGGCCATGATCCAAAAGTGGACTTCCAGTAGGAAGTGGGGAAAGGAGCCCCCAAGCCCATCCCAGTGCAATACCCTGTACTCCACAATGATTCTGGTGACTGGGCAATCTTCCAAAGCTATTTCTGGAAAGATATTTCTCAACTGCAGCAAAGAAAGGAAACTCCAAAATTCCCAGTAGTGGAACACTGGATGCAGCCCTTTGCTACTGCTCAAAAGAAAAACTTTAGCTGTCATGTTTTATGTGAGGAGAATTAAAGTGACACCTTTAATTTAGGAAACAATGCTCTTGAAGTTCTGAAGCCTCTTATGTATCATGGCTTAGTATGCTACCTCATGTATACATGCTGAAGGTAATCTAGATTTGATTTTAACCTGAATTTCAAATGTGGTCAAGACTGAACTCTAATAAATATTAGGTACAGTTCTGATATACTCTTGTTAAAGTGGAAAAGAGGATTCATGCTTAAGAAGGATGGCCCTGATGAATGACTTCGCCATTAAAATGAGCAAGAACTCCCTGAACCTGGCTAAGTTGAGGAGCTTCTGTATTTTGAAAACCCTGCATCAGTGGTAGCCTATGAAGCTGAACTCTTCTGCCTGGGTCAGAGAAGGAGGCTGGACTATGCCCGAGCCCACAGGAACACTGTATTATAAACTCACAAGCAGGGTTCCAAACCCCCGGACCAAGCACTCAGCTACACCTCTCAGCAAAACCAGGAAACCAAATCCTACAGGTGAATTCCTTTCCCAGCTGGTCAAATGTCTGATCATAATTCTGGGCTAATACATTTGATCCAGTAGGTTTTTGTGTTTTTCATATTTTTATGCTTCTATCCTTCCTTTTCAATACACATTATTGTTTACTCGTAATTGGAATCTCTTGATATTTCAGAGTTCTCATTTATTTTACAACATAAAAACTTATATAACAGGGTGTGAAGTACAGAAATCATATCGCAATGTCTCATCCCATGACATAAAGTGGACCTTCTAAAAGGAGTATCCTTAAGTAAATATTTTATACTTTCTGGAATCCTAGGGTTGCCATAGAGGCTTTGCATAACATGTCACAGCTAATTAACAACATGCATGGTTTCATCTTGGTTGTGCTATCTGTCTTATGAGCAAGATATTCCCCAGCACCTAATCAATTAACTAGGTATGGAAACCTTACATGACAGCTAATAGAATTCAGCTTCCACTTCTACTACCAAAGAGCCCAGATCAAGAAATATTTTAACCTATGTTATTAGAGTAGTTTATTTATGGTCCTTAGACCAGTCACATAAGTAGAAAACCTTATAAAACCTTATAATTTCTAACTTTCAATATTTCATTAGAATATGTTGGCATACACACAGCTAGGAGCTACTATCTAATTGGCATTTAACTTCCGCAATCAAAGTATTGCTACACAGAACCTCGCAACCTGACAGGTGATCTGCACATCAACATCTGAGAGAAGGAACTCAAGCCTATTTCCCTCCAAACATCCTGGCATTCTATCTATTAAGGGAATAATAGTCTTTTTTCACACTGCTTCATACAATGGGCAGGTGAAGAACATACGCTGTATGGTCTCGATCTCCCTAAGGTGGCAGGAGCATAACGTTTCAGCAAAAGGAGTATTTTTATACCTCCCTTCTAGTACAGCAGAGGGGAGGGCCAAAAACCTCGCCAAAGTAAAGGCTCTTCTAATTCCTTTAATTTCGAAAGATGTTAAGTATTTGGCCAGTTCCATACAGTTTTTGATGTAACTCTTTACTGCCATGTTTTGAATGCTAGAGAGGTCTGTTTGGTATTCACTGTCCTCTATTCTTTGTTTAACTATTTGTTTTGCCTGCTCTATTCCAGAAGATATAAGTGCCTGAGGTGAGAGGCCAATTTTCCCCAAGTAGCCCTGGACTGATTTGACCCACTTGGATTGATAGTTATCGTTAAGCATCAAGGAACATAGACCTTTGGGGTTTAACTGTCCCTTTAGCCACATATATATAGATTGGATCCTAATCCAGGCTTCTACTTTAAGGCATCCTGTTTCTAGCCTCATCCTTGCACTTGACACGCATCTTGGGACCTGGAGTATAGTTCTTAGAAATTTGGATTGTACTATTTCTTGTGATGCAAAGTGAGAGCTGGGTGGCCCCATGAATGAGCCGTACAGCAGCTGAGCTAAAGCCTTTGCTTTAGAGTTTGAAGGCTGCTGGTATAAAGGACCCTCCTTGGGAGAGATGGAATTTTACTGTATTATCTGCCAATCTTTCTCCCTGATCTGCCGCAAATTTACTATGCTGAAGCCTAGATCCTGAGGCCTGTAGTACTACCCCCAGATATTTGAAGCTGTTCACCTGCTCAATACTGTGTCAATTTATTTGCCATGACCGAATCTTGGGTGACTATCTTTGTCTTCTGATAGTTAATAGTTAGGGATTTATATTCACAGTATGAGGCAAGCTTCTTAAGTGCCCTCCTCAGCCCTATGAGGGTTCTGGATAGAATTCTGGAAGAATTACTGTATCATCAAAATAGAGTAAGGCTCGCACTGTTCTAGATCAGGGGTGTTAAATCATTTATATAAAGGATGAATAATGCTGGTGCCAGTAGGCAACCTTGCCTAACACCTTTGTGCGTTTGCACAGATTCCGTGAGGTGTCCTTGTCTGCTGCACCTTACTCTGAAGTATGTTTCTTGATGTAGGGCCCTGATTAGATATAAAAGTCTTTTGTCTATAGATGAGTTTGTTAGTTTGTCCCAGAGGTGTGTTCTCGATATAGAATTGAATGCTGATTTAAAATCCACAAAGGCAGCATAGAGTGATGTTACTCCTTTTGCTGAGTATTTCTCCTTAAGATGTTGTATAATTAGGCATTGTTCTGTTGTGGATCTCTGTGGCTGAAAGCCTGCTTGTTCTGCCCCAATGATATTTTCTGCTTCGAGCCACTCCAGGAGTTTGTCTAGGACACTGGTTCTTAACCTTGGGTTACTCAGGAGTTTTGGACTGCAACTCCCAGAAGCCTTCACCACCAGCTGTCCTGACTGGGGTTTCTGGGAGTTGCAGTTCAAAAGCATCCGAGTAACAAAGGTTAAGAACCACTGGTCTAGGAGGTGCCTTGCATATAGTTTGCTTATAATATTCAGCAAACTTATTGGCCTGTAATTGGCTGGATCTTCCCTTTTCCCCTTCTTGTAGAATTGGACCACTATGGCCGTTTTCCATGATATCAGCCGGTGTCATTTGTATGTGTAGAGAGAGGTGCTAGAAAGGAGCCCCACCATATCTTGTTTTCTTTTAGGAATTCTGGTGGGATGCCGTCAAGGCCTGGGGCTTTGCCATTTTTCAGCTGATCTATGTGAGCTATTATTTCACCTGGGGTCACCGGGGGCCATTTGGGAGTGCTTCCAAGCATTAGTGAAGAAGGGGGTACAATGACATCCTCATACATACTTGTAAAGTGGAATACCCATTTATCTGGTGGAATACAAGAGTATAATGGGTGTTTGGTTTCTATTATTTATTCAGCAAGTAACTTCCTCCTTTCTGATTTTTATTTATCAACTCCAGTATTATCAAACAAGGACTGGCCTCTCTAATCTTGTCAACATTGCCACTATTATAATCACACATATTTAATGTCTCAATATACGTGCCTCACAAACAAGGTATCCACTATTATTATTCATCATCATTTCTAAAATTCATGGGCTGCATGTGCTTGTTTAACGTTAAATTCCATCTCTGGCTGAATTTGCTTATAGTATATTAGTCATATTACTTTGTATATCCATCTTCAGTGTTATCAAACCAAAATTGGCCTCTTGCCTCCTTTATTCATTCATTTTTTCCCCAGTTTTAAAATGCCATTTATAATATTTCTTTAAGACATTTTCTATACAGTTGACTACTTTCATTCCCATGTGGTCAGTGGTTTGATTCTGGAGCAACATAGTGTGTGATATCTGATCGTAAATTTCTGCCCTCAGCTTTGCCCATTTCTCCCCCTTTACATTCTTTCCTGAGATATTTCCTCGCTTCCCCGCTGCCCCTTTCGTCTTTTTTAGGCATCTTTTGAAGAAAAGGAGTCTTCTTCTTCTCTCTCTCTGATGATGGTAGCTGTTGAATAAATTCCATGATTTGTCTGTGTTGCTTTGAGGCCATCTCTCTCTCTCTGACATTAAAGGCTGTTCATTAAATATCTGGTTAAGTTGTTTGTCCTTGCTTTCTATCTTTTCGTGCAGAGCAGAAAAAGTCATCTTCAGGTCTGTTCTGATCTCCTCTAGTTACGCCTTGAAATGATTGATTATGTTAAATTGACATTGTTGAAGAAGTCCCTTGATATAATCCATTGAGGATTGCGATGATGAGTCTCCCCCTCCTTCCATGGCTATAACAGTCAGCAGGTTAATTACTCAGATTTCCCACATGATTTATTAGCTAGTCCACACTTAAAAGTCTTACGAGGGGGGACCCCAAGGATGTTATTTGATTTATAATCCACCTTGTAGCCAGATACAGAGTCACATAGGTTAAATTATGCAGTGTTATTTAGAGTTCTTAAGCCCTGACTTTATAGATTTATGAAAAGCCAGTTTCTCTGGGGGGAAGGGTTACAAGAGACAAAGAGCAGAATTGGTTTCGTTTCCAAGCTGTGACGTAGTAAGAAAACTCCGATGTTACAGGCATTAACAAAGTTATGCCGCTTGAGATCTTCCTTCTCATCAGATTTCACAGAGCAGATTTGATCTTTTACTTGCTATGGCTTAGCAGCAGATCGTTAATCTCTGTTCTGCAGTCAAATAATAAATCTCCTACCTCCCCTCTCCGAGCAGCTAACTCACCATCATAGCGACTTCACGAGACAGATTGCGTGTAGGAAGGGAACTCTTCCAAAAAATAGACTGCCATCTGAGATTTGGTGGTTCCAAAGCCCCCACTTGCTAGCAAGTCCCACTCTCCTGTGGGAACTTGCTCCCCCTTCTCCTGGGGGGTCCTCTGACTCGGAGTAAACCCAGGGGAATCCAGAGCCCTGGAATTTCCCCTGTTCTCGCTGCTCATTGCTCCGCCTCCTTCCTGTGTCTAGGTTTCTAACTTTTAGATGAAAACTTAGATGTAGGGGGAAATGATCCCCCTCCATGTAAGGAAGTACTTGGAGAGTTTCAACCATGGAAAAGAGAGCCCTGCACACCAGGATGTATTCAATTGTACTAGCTTTGGATGCTGCCATAAATGTGTATTTTCCTGGACTATCACCTGTGATTGTGCCATTTAAAACTGAGAGGCCTAGTCTGTAGGCAAATTTGTACAGGCAGGCCCCGGCATAGTTTGCACGTTGATCTTTAGATGCCCTCTCCTGGTTCAGGGTCCCCACATTATCATTTCCTACATTGGCTATCATCTAAAATTTGGTTCCCAGATAGTCGTCATCTGGTCCCATAGAGGCATTTAGATCCCCACCAATCAGGACCAAAGCATCTGGATGTGCGATGATAAGCTCTCTTGCATAGTTTTCAAGGTCTGTCCAGTTACCTTCTGTTTCTGCTTTTCTAGATGTAGGAGGAAAGTATATGTTAATGATCAATAGGGTTTTCATACTTCCTGTAAGTACTACTGCCATGGCCAGCTGTATCAAGGGGGGGGTTCATCGTAGATTTCATTTTCAGAGCCATTGATACCAGAATGCTCAAACCCCCCTTCAGTCTCCCCAGTCCCTGGGATTGCCCTTACCATGAAAGAGTTGAAATCATCTAGTATTATATCTTTGTCAGACCATGTTTCTTGCAGAAGAATGATGTCATATTTGTAGCAAAAGAAAGGGGTATAATGGGTATCGAAGATACATCTGATCCAAACTGCCACATTCCATGATAAAAGTTCAAATTTAGATGCAGATTTTGGTTGCTTTCTGGAGCACACTGCCATACTTGAATGTCTGGTGCCCCATTTCGCTCCTGAACTTTCAGTTCTGCCTTTGGAGTCATTTCCCCTCTTGTGGCAGAGAATTTTAATGGGGTTCCCTTCCTTGTATATCGTTAGTTTCTCTAGAGCAGGCTGGAATACATCTGATAACTGACACCCTCTGTAGGTGAGGGGAACAGCTGGTGTGGGTAAAGGATAATCTTTACGGGCCCAGTCTTTGTTGTTTCGATTTCTTTGTGTCTCTCTACTAAAGGAAGATCTTTCAGCTCTACCTGGATAGGTAGTCGTTGTTGCGTTTGGAACTATGGAATCTTTGTGAAGTTGGACTTGTTTGTTTCCCCCCCCCATGCAATATTCCAGGGTGAAGGCTTCTTCAAATTTTTTTGTTTTTTGTCTTCCAATAGTCAGTTCTGGGGATAAGCTACTAAAGGGGCATATCTATTGCCCATATGCCACTCAGAGGTGGAGTCAGAAATAGTTCCAATTGAGCAGGCTGGGTGTATCTTCTCTTTCTATGGATGGTATGTTCTGTCATTTCTGGGGGATATACTGTAATACACTTTGAAAGAGGCCTTGGCCTTGAGAGCATTTTCACCTGATTACTCTGGTTTTTGATTTTGCTTGTAAAATCATGGGGCTTGTTAATTGGGATATTGTTTGGAAAGGTTGCAAAATTGGTGTGCGTTTCTTTTCCTCTGCCGTCTGGTTTGGCTTTGGAAGGTCAACTGTTGTAAATGATGGAAGCTTCAGCCCTATATCTCTACAGGTCATAGCTGGGATTTTCGGCTGTTATCTTCCTTATGGAAGCGGCTGAGGGGCCATCTCTTTGTTCTGGAACCTGAATTTCTCTGGATTTATTTGTTAGTTTGTAGATGTCCAATTTTGTGATCGGTCTAAGGTTGATATTTGAGTAGGTTGTATGTATTCCCCATTTGAATGATACAGCTATTTTTTCAAACTTGTATAACAGGCTCCAAAAATGATGGGCCTGTTTACTATTGGTGAAAATCATGCGCACCCTGCCTCTTAGTTGCCCGAGCTTACTGGGATAAATACAGTAACATTTTGTGTTCGTTTGAGCATCCCAATCCTCGCCCAGAATTTCTGTTATCGTCTGCAATACTTCTGAGTTGGAGGCCCAGATGCCATTTGATTTTCTTAATGGCCAGTTGTAGATGGTGATATGGTTCACGGGCTTGGATGATGGGGTTTCAACCGGGGTGGACTCTTCACTATCTGAGGTTATTGACCCTTGGGGGTTTTCTGTCTGTATATTTTCCTTGCATGCTGTCTCTGCGAGTGGATGCTGGGGATAGGGTTCTTCTGGGATGTTTTCCCACCATTTGTCTATAGTTATTAGCTCTGGATTGGAGGATGTTAAATCAGGTCCCTCTGTGTTCTTACTTCAGGCCTTTAGGGTCGTCCCAGAGATCGGCATTCAGTCCTGGCTTGTTTTTTCCAATAACTGTGGGTAACTCTGACCTTTAAAGGCTGGAGAGTTATCTTTTTGTCTTTGATCTTTTGTGCCCAGCTCATTTTTTGCCTGAACTCCTCTCTGTTCAGTATTCTGAGGGTTTGAGGGGGGTGCTGCTTTTAAAATCCCCAATTTTATGCATTGCAATGTTGCTTTAATATCAGTGATTTCTGTATTTAGTGCATGCAGCTTATTGAAGATGGTTTGGTTGGATTTGGCTAATAGGAAGCACTGATCACATAGTTGTATGCAAAAAATCCTAGTCTGTTCACTCTCGAGCCCTTTAGCATCTTGGGGACCTATTTTTCATTCCATATGGTTCATGGAAGTCCAGAGAGAGCCTTCTTTAGGAGTTCTGGGTCCAGAGACCAATTGCCAAGTTCTTCTCCAGCTTGTGGAGTTCCGACTGCAACCTCCTGGTATGTCTCTCCATTAGTTATGCCTACATTGTCCGTAGTGAGTGGAGTACTTGATGTAAATTCCCTCAGTGGCCTTTGATTATAAGAGGAAGCATGTTCACATTGGCTGATGAAATCTGAGGCCACACAGAAGTCTGCTACTGATTTCCGGTTTGGCTTTTTGGGAGCCTTTTTTATCTTGCCATAGGTTTTTTTGTCCTGGTAGTGACCATAGTTATACTCCACAGATTTAGATTATTTAGTATCCCCTTCTACTTCTGCAGGTACAAACTTCCACTCAAAGGGAAAGGAATATGGGTTTCACAGTTACAGTCAGTAGCAGCTGTATAAAAAAAACATCTTAGCTCCGGTAAACACTTCAAACATAAATGTTTAAAGGGCAGGTTATTCCACCCTGTTCCTTGGAGGACTTTTACTCACTGTGAGCCAATTGTAGATTGACGAAGACAGCATATCAGGGCCCCTGCTATATGCCGAACAACCCCCCAAAGGCAGATGGCTTTTCTTAAACAAAGTAAATGCTTTTCTTGCAGACGTGATTTAAGCAGGTGCTTACTGTCCATAGTAATGGTGTTATTTTCTTCTGTTTTCTTCCCAAGGCTTAGTTACTGCAATGTGCTCCTCCTGGGAATGCCTCTTCAAAGTGTCCAGGAACATCAGTAGGTCCAAAACACAGCAGCTAGATTCTTAACAGGGGCTGGTCACGGGAATCATATAGCACACCCACACTCACACCCACCCATTACAGCAGCTCCATTGTCTGCCAATATGTTTCTGGAGACAATTCAAAGTGTTGGTTCTAATCTATATAGCTCTAATTAGCTTGGGTTCAAGTTATCTCAAGGAACATGTGTCCCTTTATTAGCCTGCCTGGTCATCAAAAGAGGTCTTTCTCTCAGTTCACCACCTTCACAGGTGCATTTGTGGGGTATTTTCTGCTTCCAGACATTGGAAGCCCCTCCTACAGGAGGTCAGGCTAACTGCATCTTTCTGTCCTTCTGCAAGTAGATGAAGACCTTTCTCTCCATGACTGGCTGCCTGAGTGGGTTTTTTTTTTTAATGGATTGCTATGCCTTTATGCTTTGAATGTGTTTTTGTTTAGAATTATTTAGTGTGATGTTTGCTTGATTCTTTTTAGTATTTGCACACATACTGTTTTTAGATTAGAATATTGTGTTTTAATGATGTAAGCTTCCTTGGGTCCTTTTTAAAGGAGAAAAATGGGGTTAAAATACTTTAAATATATTTAATTAATTAATTAAATGTTGTCTACACAAGCACAAATAGAAAGAAAAATAAAAAGGGAAAATGATCACATGAAAGAAACTAAATTAGATGCTTTTCGTCAGGAGAAGAGAAAAATGTATGTTACATTAATTAATATAAAAACAATGGGATTTCTAAACTAAAAGCAATGGGAAGCCCAAAACCAACAGATTATAACCATACATGACAAGAATGACCTTATTTTACATTGTCATAGATTATTTCTCAGTCATTAGCAACTTATAAAAGAGACTTTGTGCTACTGGAATCAGGTATATACTGTACTAAAAATACTCACACAAGTGTCTACTCATGCAAGCAATATAATGACCAAAATCTTGCACACTCAAAAAGCTTGAATTCAACATGCAAGAGACAATGTCATCAGAGATTTTTTAACTTGAGGCAATTCATTTCTAAAAGTTATGTATTTTGCATAATTGGGCAAGAGGATTTTGGCCAGTATCAGAGAGAAACTTCTGAGAAACCAATTATTTTTCCATGACAAAAACCAGACGTGTGGGAAGGGGGGAAACTCTAAAAATCATATTACTCCTTAATTAAACTAATCATATCAAACTTGTTTACAATGAGGACCCAGCTCTCATATACGAATTTGCTGTGAAGTGTTTTACGAGCATAAATACCGTTTTCCTAGGAAGCTTGAACACCACTGTGATGGTGTTGAGCTTGGTAAACTTGTGAACCCCGGGGACCTCTTATTTTCCATGCAAGAAAAACTTCAGCAGATTATTATTGTACAGTCTTTTTGAATAAATATTTAAGAAGCAGTGATGCAAGTCTTACCGTACATAATAGTCATTTCGTATCAGCAAGAGATGCTGAAGTATAGAAAGGAAAGAACGTTCTGCACTTGTGTCCTTAACTGTGTTCCACACTGCGTTGTAGACTTCATTCACTTCAGTAACCAAGTCAAGGATGATACAAATAATTTGCACACAGTCATTTTAACCTTCCAAAGCAGATTTCATACTTTTACTATAGTCAGTTTTTTAAGATTGTCATGTGAAACACATTGAAATTAAACATCTCAGGTGTTTGACCCAAGTCATTCAGAACAATAGTTTTATCTCAGTTTTCAAATAAACATTGCCAATCTTAAGCACAAGATGAAGAGAACTTGCTATAAAAGTCACATTAATTTCCATGTCACTTAAGTTGGATCTAATAAAAAAATCTCTACTGGGGTGCTTGTTGCTATCCCCTAATATATATATCTATTTAGGTTTTTGTCCTGTTTTAAAGGATATTCTATTTCCAATCGGATATCGTCCAAACGATGAGAAAATTCTATCATGTCTTCATCTGTGTGTTCACTGAACACCTTTAGCTGGATATCCAAAGCATCATTCATTATGCAGTTTAATTTCTGTGAGATTTTTAAAAAGCAGTGTGTGTAATTAAAAATCCATATTAAAATATCAAACAGGTTTCATCCCTAAAAGGAAACTATCATCAAATATAAGATCAATAATAAACATTCTGGAATAGTATGAAATACATCCAGAAAAGCAAATTATGTTAATCTTTTTAGATGCAGAAAAGTCCTTCAATAATGTCGACTGGGAGTTTATGTTCCTGCAGAAGGAACTTTTCTACAAACAATTAAAGCAATATACACTAAACAGAAGGCCAAGATTAAAATCAATGGTCAAGTAATTGAAAATACAGTGGTGCCTCGCTATATGATGATAATCCATTCCACTGAAATCGCTGTTTAGCGAAATCATTGTCTAGCGAAAAGCATTTCCCCATTGGAATGCATTGAAGCCTGTTTAATGCATTCCAATGGGGAAGAATCGTCGTTGTCTAGCAAAGATCGGCCATAGGAAAGCCGCTTTGCGAACCGCCAATCAGCTGTTTAAATCGCTGTCTTGGGAAACTTAGGTCCCGAAAACACCTGTTTGCGAGCGCGGAGGGAGCTGTCAAAATCGTCGTCTAGCAAAAATCAGTTTGCGAACCAGGGACAAAACATTGTCCAGTGAAATTCCCCCATAGGAATCACTGTTTTGCAAATAGCTATAGCGATTGCAAAAAGCCAATGTCTAGTGAAAAAACTGTCATGCGGGGTAACTGTCTAGCGAGGCACCACTGTATTCAAATTGAACAAGGAACAAGGCAGCGTTGTCCACTTTCTCAGTTATTATTTATTCTAACATTTAAAATTCTAAACAGACAAATAAGGGGGAATGCTGGAATTAGGGGTCTCAGAATCAGGGGAGAAGAATTTAAGCTGCAAGCATATGCTGATGATTTAGCAATAACACTAGAAAACCCTATGGACAGTTTGGAAGAATTAGTGAGAACAATAGAAGAATTCAGAACTGTTGTAAGTCTTAAAATAATCTATCAAAAAATAAAATTAATCACTTAAAACATAAAGAAAGAAGACGTGGAAAGACTGGCAATGAAAACTAATTTTGAGGAGGTTCAGAAAGTGAAATATCTAGGAATTATCAATAGAAAGAAAACCAAGTAAATTGATGAAAGAAAATTATCTTACAACACAGAAGGAAATTCACAAAGACCTAGAAGAATGGAATAAGCTATAAACCTCTATGATGGGAAGAATCTCAACAATAAAGATGATGATATTACCAAAATTTACCAATTTTATTAAATTATATTACTTCAAGGATCTGGACAGCCTGACTTCAAAATTCATATGGAAGTCCAAGAAACCAAGAATAAAACTTAGAATATTGCAAGACTTAAAAGAAAGAGGTGGTCCAGGATTACCAAATTGGCTATTATATTACAAGTATGTGCCATGGTCTGGATAAAAGAATAGATAAAATTAGAAAATCAAAGATTATTGAAACTGGAGGGTCATGATCTAAAAATGGGTTGGCATGCATATGTGTGGTATGAGAAATACAAAGAACAATCGCATTTTGCCGAATATATTCTGAGGAAGGCGCTCTGTTTAGTATGGCAAAAAATTCAAACACAAACCTACAAGAAAATTCCAATATGGGTAGCACCAATAGAAGCATTCACTTTGAAAGTATTGAATCAGAAGGGAGCTTTACTCATGTATAAAGACTTAGCTATGGTTTTTCCTGTTGTGATGTATGGAAGTGAGAGCTGGACCATAAAGAAAGCAGACCGCCGAAGAATTGATGCCTTTAAATTGTGGTGCTGGAGGAGGCTCTTGAGAATCCCCTGGACTGCAAGGAGAACAAACCTATCAGTTCTAAAGGAAATCAACCCTGAGTGCTCACTGGAAGAACAGATCCTGAAGCTGAGGCTCCAGTACTTTGGCCATCTCATGAGAAGAAAAGAGTCCTTGGAAAAAACCTTGATGTTAGGAAGGTGTGACGGCAAGAGGAGAAGGGGACGACCGAGGATGAGATGGCTGGACAGTGTCTGCGAAGCAACCAACATGAATTTGACACAACTCCGGGAGGCAGTGGAAGATAGGAGGGCCTGGCGTGCTCTGGTCCATGGGGTCATGAAGAGTCAGACACGACTAAACAACTAAACACACACACACAACTAAGGATCAAAACATAAAAGATAAAGAAGATCTAGAGAAACTGGGTCTAGCTACAGATTGGTGGTCAATGATGAAATTAGAATCGAGATATAAAAAGGATAAAACTATGGGCTTTTTTGAGGGAAAAGTCCAGGTGGATGAATTATGGATTCACACTAATGAGAAAATAATTTTTAAAATGTATACATACTTATTGGAATACAACTTGGAGGATGAGAGTGTGAAGGAGACGATGGGCACAAAATTTTAGGTACAATATTGATATTAATGAATAGACAAAGATGTGGAAAGAGAATCATAAAATGTTTAAGCCAGTGAATCTTAGAGAAAACATCCTTAAAATGTTTCATAGATGGCATTTTACCCCTGTAAGATTGGCAAAAATGTCAGAAGGTAACAATAATGTTTGTTGGAAGTGTAAAAATATCCAGGGATTTATTATCATATGCGGTGGTCATGTGAAAAAGCAAAAAAAATTGGATACAGATTTGGAAAATGGTAAAAGATTGTTCAACAAAAATTACATTTTAAACCTGAAATATTATTGAATATAATGCCAGAAATTACTGACAAGAAAATAAAATATAGTCTACTGTATATATTCACAGCAGCTAGGTTACTCTGATCCCAAATGTGGAAGAATGAAGAAACACCAACGATGGATGAGCTATTCAAAAAGCTATTGGACATTGCAGAACTATATATGCTTTCAGAGGCACTACAGGATCAACCAAGAGACTTTGTAAAGCAAAGCTGGAAGCTGATATATAACTGGGCCCAGAAAAAGACAGGAACTTAGGGAGAAAATTAGTCTATAGCGAATCAGTGCTCACTGGAATACCCTTGAAGATATTTCGATGACCAGACGATGGTGAAATCTCTGATCCATAGGGGAAGGAAGGATATTTAGCTGTGTTCTTTTGTTTGTTTTGTTAATTATCTGTTAGATTGCTAACGTTTTTAAGTTTGTATGTTTAGACATGAATGAAATGGTTTTTAAAAATGCATATTAAAATGAGTTATCTAGAATATAATGTAGCTTTTATCATAGTAAGCTATGCATTTTAGAGAATACACACTAATTACTCAAAACCAAATGCAGTTATTTTCAAGATACTTTGGAACATATTGCATAAAACAAAACTGATACCGAAATTGCTTTTTATTATTTCATTTTAAATTACTACTTTGGAAATCAAAGTATATGTTCAACCATTTTTCACTTTCTGCATTAATAAATTATTCCAGGTGGAACTTTTTATAACTTCAACTCAGGTAAATATTTTAATTTCAATATTAATTCACATATGCACTACAGGGCACATACTGGTAATTGCTCTTTCAATCCACAGCGCATAAATTCATTTCTGATGTGGAGCCTGAAGTCCAAATCATCAGGAGATGTAACCAGTGCATTGATGAGCTGCATACAAGCTATCTGCAAGAAACAATACATTTAAATTGTATTTAGCTTTATTCAATTGTAGTATTTAGCTTTATTTGTTTATGTTATGATTCAGAAACAGTTTATTCTTAGTCTCTTTTGTGTGTAAGATGTTACCTTTCAGGGAAAATTAGATCTGGCATTCTTTCATTAAAACAGTTCAGCTTACAATCAATTATAACTTCATATCTATTGCCAGATAGATTCCAGAAAGAGACAGAGGGGGATGATGGGCTGTTAAATTAAGAGCTAAAGACAACTAAAGGCAGCAACGTTGGGATGTAGTAGTAGCAGATTATTTATAATGACTAGACATGGGATATTCATATTCGTCTCCTAGGGGGAGATGAATAAGAATATAGGCACCACCATTTGAACCCTCCCCCCAGAACCAGTTGGTCCACTTACTACACATCATGTAGTGTGTGCAGCTGCCATAGTTCACAATGCATCAACAGCGGAAGTAGCCCAGTTGGCACTTCCCCACCTCCCAACAGAGCTGACCACTCCATTGAGGGGGCAGGATGAAGTGTCTTCCTGCTCAACTGCTGAATGGTCAGCTGTGCAGGGAGGCGGGGAAGTGCCAGCTGGGCTATTTCCATGATTAGCACATTGCAAGCAATGACAGTGTGCATGCTGCATGGTGAGTGGTAAGTGGACAGGCCAGTTCTAGAGGAAGGTCCAAATGGCCCGGGTACTTGTGGCGTCAATATTCGTATTTATCTTCCTGGGAGAAGAATATGAATATCCTATGTCTAATACTGTTCACGGCAACAAGGGGAAAAATTATATTTCAAAATTTTGGCTATGCTACTCAGAGACTTTGGCCTAGCCATGCTTTGCCACTCTTTTGGTTATGATCACCTGGAAAAGTAGAGGAAGATTGTGATGTCAAACTATCTAGAGAACAAGACCCAAGTGTGGCAGATTGTTAGAGGCCATTTTGGGAGGGCTGCTGTTGAAGAACAATACTGTATATAAACAAGGCCTTCAGAAAGACCATATAGAAAATCTTTGGATGGAAACCAATCACTCACTTTCATCTCTGCATGCAGCTGTGCCCTCACCTTTACAAAGCCAGTGATGTGACCAATCTATTTTAGAAAGCTAGAGAGGTATGACTTAGGTTTTGCTACTTCCTGTCAGGACTGCACTTACTGCTACCCTGCCAGAGCTCCTGCCCATGCTGCAGTCAAGCCACTGCCCATATTCTCTGCAATTACTTGCACACTAAAGAAGACAAGTTATATTTTGGGTCAATGTTTAGGCTAACTGCTCTTGTATTTGAAGAGGCACAGTATTAAACTAGTAGTCAGAAACTGTAGTTTGAATTTTCATCAATGAAAAGAGATTAAATATTTTCTGCCACAATTAACGAGAAGTCAATACTGTACAACAGCAGCTGTAAAATATGAACTTGTGCCAGTGAGAGATGTAGGAAATGTGAAATGTAAATATAAGGCTGTACATCAGCATTATATTTAACAACTCACCTCACAGTCAATGGTGACAAAATTCAACATAACTATAGCAAGCAAAGGAGTAAAGCACTGTATCAGCCTGTTTGATTTACATCAAAGCTGTGAAGCAAGAGAAGCCCGTTTCTCATAAATGACCCTCAGCAGACTTTTTTTTAAATGGCCTTCCAGTAGTCTAGTATCCTGCATTTTAATTATTTATGATTTTAACTACTTCATATGTATATTTGTATGGGTCTGCTCTAGGACGGACCGTACAGGTATTTACGTTGAACTAACTCAGCTAAACTAAACAAAAATACACAACAGTATTGTTTACTCCATTGATTTTTATTTTCTCTATCCACCATCACTACAGTTTCACTTTTTCCCTTTCTGTATTTATCTCATTTTCTGTCTCCTGAAGCTATTCATGATCCCACTGCTCCATGTCCCCACAGTATTAAACACAGGATCCATTCTTCCCTCTCATTCATTTCCCTTCTTCATTAGTAGTTCTATCCTTACTCTAGATTTACTTTCTCATATTCAGTTTTTTAAATTCTTTTCAATGGGGATAGGGCTATGGGGAAGGGAATTTAGGGTTATAGGGATGGGAATTTAGGGCTGTGGGAGTAGGTATGGATAGAGAAAGGGTAAAATTCCAGAGAGTGAGATAGTACATTAACATCAACTTATACACTTATATTACAAAGAAAGACAGTTTGTGTCATCCTGTCAACTCCTGCGACATCACTGAAACCAGTTGTATTGGCTCTTGCCTTTCCATTGGCCTATTTCAGTAACGTGGAGAGGGGGGATTTGCTGGTTGGGTAACAACCTATCCTCCATATTATTTTACCAAGGCTTCGTGCCCTGGAGAGGACACTCCAGCTTCGCGTACAGCGTCAAAACACTAGATGCTGTTCCAAGTCCTCCATACAGAGCACATTACCATAGTCTCTCAAGACTGAAGGATGCCTATGACTATAGTTACTAACCTATCTATTCCCTAATTGGACCTTCACATTCTTCCTTAATCTATGCTTTCCAAGCTATCTTTCATGTCTAATTATGGAATTATTATTTCCGTTTCCTCCAACTCTACGACTTCCCATGCCTTTCCTGTCAGCTCTTCTAAGTCCAGGATATCTGTTTTCTTCTATTATTTTCCATCTAATAACTTAACTGTAGAGATTACATACATTGTCAAATATTTCACTTTAACATCTCAAGTCTACTGTTCAATAAAAAGAGCAAATCCGGTTTACCTATTGTCGTGTGGAACAGAATATTTTCGCCACTTTCATATACCTACAATATTTCCTTATATATCCATCAAGCATAATAAAAGTGTTTTTTACATTTCCCCTACTATTTAATAGCATTTTATACCTCTTTTTTTAAAGAAAACTTTTAGCCTACAGTTAAACACTTCATTTTTCACTTTCATGTTTTATTCATTTACTCCATCTTTATTGTGATTTTCTTTCTTCCTTCTGGATCTTCTTGTTTCAACAGTGGTGCCTTGACTTACGAACTTAATTTCCCATAGGAATGCATTGAAATGCGATTAATCCATTCCGGCCGGGGGGGGGGAATCACCAAAAAAAAAAAAAAAAAACTGCAAGACCCATCGGAAACGCAATTAATCCATTCTGGCCAAAGGAAAAAAAATCCAAAAAGCAAACAAAACCTTCAAGACCCATAGGAAATACAAAAAAAACCCCAAAAAGCAAACAAACCCTGCAATACCCATTGGAAAGGCAAAAAGAAAAACAAACAAAAACCCCAAAAGCAAAGAAACCCTGCAAGACCCATCGGAAATGGGGGGGAAAGAACCCAAAAAGCAAACAAACCCTGCAAGACACATCAGAAAGGCAAAAAAGCAAAAAGCAAACAAATCCTGCAAGACCCATCAGAAATGCAAAAAAAAGCAAAGAAACGCTGCAAGACCCATTGGAAATGGGGGGGACACCCAAAAAGCAAACAAACCCTGTATGTCTACTAGTTCAGAGTGCTTAATCTAATAGATTGGCTTCATTATGATTATCATGTTGTTATGTTCTGAGGTTGCCTTTGACTTATGGTGGCCTTATAAATGAATGAGCTATCTCCAAAATATACTTTTTCAACTGCCCTGCTCAGCTCTTGTAAGCTCAGTCCTGTGGATTCCATCAGGGAGTCAGTCTAGCTCATATTTAGGCTTCCTCTTTTCCTGTTGCCTTCCACCTTTCCTAGCATTGTTGTTTTTTCTAGAGAATCATGCTTTCTCTTAGGGTGCCCCAAGCAGGACAGCTTCAGTTTCAACATTATTGCCTCCAGAGATAGTTAAGTTTTGATTTGATCTAGGAACATCTTTCTGGCAGTCCAGGATATCCACAAGGCCCTCCTCCAGCAACATATTTCAAATGAATCAATTTTCCCCCCATCAACTTGACTGTCCAGTTTTCACAGCCATGCAGTACATCCTCTTTGGATTCGATAGTTTTACTTATCAGAACATAATAAAAATCATCTAATTCTTAGCAAGTCTGAAAATTAGATAAATACAACCTCTGATAAACAACACATGACATATTACACTGTGTCATTTATTTTACAAAAATTATACATAATACATAAAATGCATAAAACCATAGAATTAAAAGAGAATGTACTTTGTATTCGCGAAGGCTTTCACGGCTGGGATCTAATGGTTGTTGTGGGTTTTTCAGGCTCTTTGGCTGTGTTCTGAAGGTTGTTCTTCCTAATGTCTCACCAGTCTCTGTGGCCAGCATCTTCAGAGGACAGCACTCTGTGGCCGGCATGTCCAGAACACAGAGGGCTGTCCTCTGAAGATGCCGGCCACAGAGACTGGCAAAACGTTAGGAAGAACAACCTTCGGAACACGGCCAAAGAGCCCGAAAAACCCACAACAATCATAATGTACTTTCTTTTTCACATTGCTGTACATGCTGATAGAAAATGAAAGAGTGTGGATGATCTTGGTCTCCAATGAGACATCCTTATAATTAATTGTCTTTTTTAATTCTTTCATGGCTCCTCTTCCAAGTCTCAGTCTTCTGATTTCTTGGCTTCATTTGGATTGATGGTTGAACCAAGGTACATAAAATCTCTAACTATTTCAGTTTCTTTTCAACGCTAAAGATGTTTAGTTCTTCTGTAGCCAATGATTTTGGTCTTCTTTTTACTAACATTCATTTTTCTCTCCATAGTCTGTCTTAATAGTAGCTTCATAGAAGTTACATCTCAGTACAATGAAGTACTGAGGCACATTCGTTTCTTTCAGAAAAAAAACATACTGCTTGCATTGGAAATTAAAACAATGATCCTATAGTTACTGGTATTTACTTTCTTAAGGACTGGAGTGCATATTACGCATTTCCAGTGTGGGGGATATTGTTTTATTTTCCATATTTGTTGGGATATTCTTGTAAGGATTTTGAGATTCAGTCTCTGTAGCTTGCAACATTTTATTGATATTCCACATTTCCCTGGTGATTTATTTCTTCCTAGTGCTTTCAGAGCAGCTTT